AGATTTCATCTGTAGTAACCAGATGTATTTGTCTGACAAGATCTGAGCCCACAGGAGCCGTACTCTTCCTCTGGCACCCCGCGGGAACTGCTCTTGAAGCTAGAAATCCTAGAGAACATCTTGGTGTTGCCATCTGCTCTCCTGTTTCCACGTGGAACCAGGCCACGTTTGTAACTGCTGTTTCAGAGGGGTGCTGCAAACCTCTTACTTTAACACAACTGAGCTGCTGCTTTAAAGACAGGAAGCTTAAATTTTGGCATAAGACAAACACTGTAAAAGGAACTCTGATAAGCACCATAAATCTGTAGTTCTATTGGAAAAAAGGCATCCTGGAGAATTCCTGCAAACCCAGCGAGAAGTTTAGAGAGCAGTTATCTTACCAAGCATTCCTGACGACGGTGGATTAGGCTGAATATGCTCCAAGGAATTCTCCTGCAGAATATCCCAGAGTTGCCACTGCATTTTTGGATTCAGGATATAGAAGGGCTGCTCTGGATGTGTGCTGCGATACGACTTATAGCTTTCAAAAAAGTTGTAGTCTGGTTTTCTGTACCACTGGAAAACAGAAACAAGAAGTCAGACTCTTTTTATTTCTGGCCTACTCTTTCTCCGAACCAGCGGGAAACGAGGACGAGTGAACCCGCTGCTGCCAGGGAGAAAAGGCGCTGCTAGAGCCGCACACCCTCACCCCCTGTGCCCCGCCGCCTCATCGGCCCTTTGGATCGCGGCAGTGGCTTGACTGGGTGAACGGAGCAGGAAAAAACCCCAGTCTCCTCTCTCTGGCAGTGAAGGGCCATCTGGCGTAATTTCATTCTGCACCCCCCAATAGCAGATGATGTTGAGAAGTCTGCCTTAAATGTTACAGACCCCAGCCCCTCTGCACGCTGGAGTACAAAGCATCTGCAGGCCAGTGTCCTCAGCACAGCCTCCTAAAACAGGCCCGGCTGATTTGCATCCTAAACTTCCCCTTTCAGTAAAAACACTTAGGAAGGGTTTCTGTTTTCTTAAAGTAATTTTGATATTTATTTTTTTTTCCTATGCTAAAAATATCCCATGCTGGTTTTACTGACTCTTAAACATGCTGTGCGTACACCCTCGCGTCTCCTGGAGGTGTGGGACCAGACACAAGAATAAACATCAGTGAGAAAATAGGAAACGCAGTCCAGAGAAAGGAACCCAAAGACCTCTCAGTTACAGACAGAGCTTAAAATAAAAGTAAAGAATGGGCTATTCACTCCTACCTGCTTCCACCCTGAGCCTCCAAAGCTCGTCACTTATCAAATAACGCCCTTCTGTAATCAAAATGAAAAGCGAATGCTAGAGGGATTGCGACACCCACAAGTGGAAGTCTAGCTGACATAGCCCGGATGCCTTTGCTAAGACCTTCAGAGGGTTCCCCAATCCATTCCTAATGCACCAAATATCTCTCTGGTGCTTGAAATACCAGCAAATCTTACAGCAGCTGTCAGAAAGAGGACATCATCCTCTGAGGAGACGACAGCTGCTGCAGCCAGTGGTGACCTCCTCCCTGCAGCGTCAGCCCATGGGACAGTAACGGCGGCGACCCGTTACGCTTGGCCTGGGGCCTGTCACGGCCGTCGGGAACAGACAAGCGTTTCTCCAGGAGCACGCGTGCATGTGTGATCACAAGTACATATGGATATATCTGTGATAACGAAGAGGTAATCAAGAATCGCCTTAAAATGAGTGATTGCCCACGTTAGGAGGAAGCAAGTTAACAGATGCGCTTCAAAGCATACAAATATAATTTTATTTACAGAAAACTCAGCCTTACCTCATGAATTTCTGCATGATAGGGTGCTGGGTCCCAGACAATTAAGATTCCAGTGTTATATAGTGCTTCCCTCAGGAACTGCTGCTCCTCCACAGTCACAAGCTTGAATAACACAACACATACGATAATATACAATATGCTGTCAGAATTAGCAAGCCGCCAGGCAATAAAACATACTCTGAATGTATGTTTTACATACCTGTAGTAAAACAATACCACAGCCCCCCACTGCTGGTCACTGAGCATGCCCCGCTGCACGCAGGCAAGGACACAGCTCCCAGCGATGCCCTTCCAGTGCCCACTCCAGTCCTATCCAGCAGCACAGGATTTAGAGCAGAGTCACAAGAAAAGTTGCCATTACACTTTACAAGGTTTTTTTCTATCTGCCTTCAATTAAAAAAAAAAAAAGGACCCACGGAGTGACCCAGCTTGCACGATGGATACCATCGTTGCAACTACTAGGAACAGGTGGGAACATCAGTAGCTGCTACCAGTCCCCAGGACAGTCCAGGGAGAGCCTAACGCAAACACACTGCTGGCTTTGTCAAGAACCTTCGCTTGAACCATAGAAGCCTGCACGTGGGCGGTTTCTCCCGAGCAGCACGAACCCTGGCAGCCAGGGCTGGGAGAGCACCGGTGCAGAAGCGAGCACGGCCCCCCAGCCCACCCACCTCGCCTCTCCGGAGGCGATGCAGCCCGGGCAAGGGACGTTTGAGTCTTGTGAGAGCGGCACTGAGAAGGAAAGCACCGCGACAAAGCCCGTGGGCTACAGACAGCGTCAGTGGAGAGAGACTGCTCCACCAGCGGCTCTCCCAAACGAACAAAACCAGGCGGTTCTAACAGAAAAGTGTCCCTCGACAATCTGGACACAACCGTCACAGCTCATGGCACCCGAGGGTAACCCAGCTCCGCAGGAAAAAGCAAACAGAGTCCAATGAGCCAGGGACTGATCTCCTGCCCTCCCCACCCAACGGCGTAACCCCTACAGACACAGCTTGTAAACACCTGCTGAAGAAAAGCATCGTCACAGAAATCAGCTCCCGTTTGTCCTGTTTTCTCCGCGGATCTAATTAAGAGCTAGCCAATTTATCCTTGAGTGTTCCAGGCTGCCTTCCCGGCTGTCCCCACAACCAGAGCACAAGGATGCTCTGCCCAGCCCAGATGTGAACTATTCCAAAAGCAAAAAGAGTTGCCTCGCATCTGTTCTTAACTCTGCGGGATCAGCCTTTGGCCTTGACCGCGCGTACTGCCTGGTTTCATTTCCTCGCAGCAGTTAAAATATCTAGGCCAGTTGTTAGCCGGAGCGTGCAGCGCTGCAGGTGTGAACTTCTGCCTCCGCTCCACGGACGCCAGAGCAGGGGCAAGGAGGGGGCACGGCAGCTGGCACCAGCCACCCCCCAGCCGGGTACGAGAGGGATGGGGCACCCCAACGCGACAGGGCGAGGGCAAGGAACGCGGGCGCTTTATTTACATTTCTTCCTTTCTATTTAAAGGGTAGAAATCTTTCAGGAACTCTTCTGATGTGAAACATGTGAAAGGAGGCTTCCAGAGAGACTGAGCACTGGAGAAAGCGAAGCCACGTGAGCTGGCAGAAGCACACATGCCCCTAGAGAGCTGTGACAGGCACAAAAGCACGGGGATAAGAAATCAGGTGGGGAGCAACCCCGCAGGCACAAAGCGCTTGCTGTTTCCTTCCCTCCACCGCAGAGCTGGTCCTTGGCACCACCAGCTGCCCAGCAGCCGTCTAACCCGGGTGCTGCGAGGAATCTGCCTCCCCAGATACCTTCGGTGACTGTTTGTTCTGTTTAATAGCAAATGGTTCTTTCCAAGTTGTTAAATTAATTTAAATTGCTTCATGACTTATATGTCTTGCCCAGCTTTTAGATCCCAAGTAGCTAAATGATCTATTGATTTCCTAGTTAATTTGTTCTTTAGCCAATGCACTAACTAGCGAGTATCTTGCTAAGAGAGTCCCTACCCTCCCGGTACCGTATCAAAACGAGATCCTTCTCTCTGGCTGCCGCAGTCAATGCCCTGTAATCTAAAACACGCTCCCCCTTCCCATCGCTATCTCACCCCATTCTACCGACGTGCCATCTCCCTTCCCTTCCTCCCTGCAGGCTCGTTAGTGCCAGTAACAGCAAACGCAGCCAAAGCAGAGCGTGCTCTCCGTGACAGCGGGAAGCCAGCCGAGGAGGACTGTAAAGAAGGGCTGGGAGGAACGAGGTACTTTGGTCCTCGGTCAGCTCTGCAGAAGGGAGCTGTGTCCTGCAGAACGACATCGGCACTCTCCCCGCATGCTCTTCAGCCCTTATTTCTGCAAGAAGCGAGCGCTTTCCGAGGGCAAATGGATGCCTTGCATAAGACTGCAGGAGAACACCATCAGAGGAAGCAGTACCAATGAACCAGTGAAGGTCTAAGAAAATAAGCGAGGCAACGTTAAAGAATTTCTTTCTTCAGAACAACAGCTTGTGGTCCTACAAGCCTATCCTCAGATCTGAGGATCCAAATTTCAAACCCCTTGCCAACAGGAATCTATTAATCTTTTCCTGTGCACACAGATGTACAAGATACCCCACTCTTCTGTTAAAACCATCCACCCCTAGATATGTGCCAGAGACTGGTCAGCAAATTACAGAAAAATACCTTCAAATAGTTATTAAGTGACTTAGGGCCACTGGCAACACGTGCCGAAGAGATACTACTCAATACAGATTAGATAGTTTAGACTGATGAGATTCAGATCCCATTTCCTTCATTTTGGGAATGGACCGAGGATTGTTCAACAGTAAGAGCCAAAACCAGAGCAGCCAAGCCGCAATCCCATCCCTGCTCCCAGTGACCGCTTACAAAAAAGCCAGAAAAGCCAAAGCCAGAACAAGAACAAATTACAGCTTGTCCAGCCCGTATCTGATGATGCCTGCAAAGTAGCTGAAAACAAAACGCACTCAGGCAACCCCGGTAACAAGAAGGTTAAATGATGTCGCCACAATTAGAACAACACTGAACCATTAAAAATGCAAATAAAAATACAGAAGAAAACCAGGCTCCCAATCCAGTTATCCCCGAAGATAACAGGGACTGCAATTAGAGCTGTTCAGCTTAGAAACTCCAGCATAGAGACTCCTTCATGATTCACACGGAGAGCACCTTCTGCCCTGCTCAGCAGCTAGATCAACGCTGCATTTTGAGTTAACTTTAGCCTCTAAAAACTGCAATAATTTTGCTCTCCCTGTAATTGAAGTTTTCTAAGCCATTGTCTCCATTCAGAGGGGACGGTGGCAGACAAAAAGCGTCGCCCGCGGCTGCCAGCTGATCTGCATGGAGCACTGTAACGACATGGCTGTAACTACACTTCGTCCAAAATACGAGCTTCCGTACAGAGAGTTATTGCTGCCCCATTACAGGGTGACCCTCCGCCCGGTGCAGATGACCCTGGTATCACACAGTTCATGTACACAGTTTTGCTGGTAAATGACTTCGTATCACAGTAAGTTTGGTAATGAGCACATCCTCCAGAGAGAGTTTTCTTAAGTGATAACACCTATCTGACATCATAAAAATGCACACAGAAGGGAAAAATGGAAAAAAGGAAAGGTCAAACAGGGCAGAGGAAGAAGGAGTCAGCAGCCAGATACGTCTGTTAAACCCAGATTGGTTCAGAAAGGACAAACTACCCCACATCTGCCTGGTGGCTTGACGCAGGGGAACTGAGATGCCACAAGCAGCAGAACAGAGCACGGCAGCAAGGGGTGGAGGCCAGAGCCCAGAGCAGAAAGAGGGAGCAACAGCATTTGCACAAGAAGCAAGAACATGCTTCAAAAGACGTGCAAAACAATCTAGGGAAAGCTAGCTCCATGTCTTGCCTCTGAAGAGAATGGCCAAGCTCCTGCCGCTGCTTTGAGCAACTTCAAACCCTGTTACACAGCTCCGACGGGCCCCTCACACAGGAGAAAGCTCCTGGCCTGCGAGTCTCAGCTTTGGGCTGAGCCAAGGAAAGTGCCTTTTTGCTTCTGGAGTACAAAAGCTACGCTTCAGCCCCCCATCTCTCCCCCGCTCACCCCCTCAGCCTTCACGTGCCTACAGGCCGCTCCCCCTCGCCCCGGGTGAGCAGGGGCTCATCCTCGGCGTGCAACGCTGCACCAGCTCTTCCGCCCAACGACTCTTGGCCTATTTGGTACCTCACAGCTGCGCCCCGTTCCCTCACCAGCATGCACGACTGGGATTCCCTCTCCTCTGCATGTCTACACCTGAAAATTTCTCCCCCCGAAACGGACAAACATGAAGGGTAACAGCTACATGGAGGTAGGGCGCAGACGCTCTCTGAGATGTACTCAGAGCAGCGACGGTCTCTGTTGCGGGTCTCCCCCTGCTCTGAGCAGGTGGCGTATCAACCCTGCTAACGTATTCCTAGACACGGTCCTAACTGCTGAGAGGATCCCTCAAAGCCTATTAAGTTCCAACGAAAATCAGCAGAGGGACAGCCTCATACCTAGGAAGACTTCTCAGTCAGGGAAAATTTAACTCAGCAAGGAATGCCTTGCACTAAAGGTGCTTTCTGCCGTGCTCTGCAATGAGGTCCTGAACACTGCAACCCATCCCCCTGAGCCCATACCCTCTCCTGGCTGTGTGCAGGCTACAGCTTTAAAGGTGGGTCCTTTGCCGGTTGTCTTCAGCCATGTAATAGCCCTGGTTAAATGTTATCTACAGAGTTTGAGGCATCGTTGCGCAGAAAAGAAGCGTTGTTCTTTTATTAATAGCCAAATAAACTTCCTTCTTTCTTCGCACCCCTGTCTGGGGCAGGCACAACTCGTCTCTTGGCACACCTCTGTTTGCTGAGCGGCGTTAGCCGAGCTGCGGTGCCGTCCTGCCTCGCGCTCCCAAAGCACAGCAGCAGGCACACAACTGGCCTTCCTGTACTAACAAAGACGCTTCGAGCCAAGACAAAAATCAAATTACCTTGTGCCTGCCGTAAATCGCAAGCAGGCTACTGCAGGTTCGCTAGCACGCGCTACTTTAACTGCGGTAACCTCAGATTTACCAACTGTCCCCCGTTACAAGGAGAGACGTTCCCATCCCACGGCTATCTGCTAGGGACAGGAGAAATCAGATGGAAAGCCCTATTCTCCCCAGCTTCATTTCGAAGACCTCCCAGCAGCAGGTGAAGCCAGAAGCCCCGTGCACGTTGTTATCTCAGGCTGCCGCTCGGCTCCCAGGCGGGCGCAGGGGAGGTACGCAGCTCTGCCACGCTTGGCCCGTTTGGCACACGTTGGTCACACCTACCTGGGAGTTCACAAGACGAATTGTTGTCTTTTGCCCCACATCTTCTTGAAACCCCTTGATAGGAGCCCCATTGAATCGCAAGACGGCATCGTGGCTGTCTGAAAGCAAAACAGGGTGGAAACCCGTGAGCTACCAACCGGGGTTTGAGTGATAGAAGAGACGTGTCATAGGTTATTCACCTGCATTTTCAATACAATCTGGCTACCCCCGGCTTTCCGCGTAACAACGAGAAGTACCAAGCCAGATTCTGTAGAACAAGCTGTCAGTCTAACTTCATGACCAATAACTCTTTAAAAATCCACTTTTTTAAACTACGATGCACTGGCAGGCTGAGAGCACAGCCCTAGCATTTGCCCTGCACGGAGGAGTGCTGCGTCTCCCTCCCTCTCTCCTTCCTTCCAAGTAGTTTACCAGGAGCGAGACTGATGGACAATTCATTTACCATGTGGCTGGCTGCAAACTAAGGAACTAGGCAATAACGGCGAGCCAGCATCCTCTCTTGCAGCTTGGAGGGTGATCAGCCCGAGAAACATCTAAACCACCCCAGTGGAAAACGAAGCTGGCTTCAGCCTGCCAGCGTACCTCCCACGTTACAGAAATAAAACCGCCGCTGTGCATTTAACAGGCACTGCTTGTTACATGCCTTGGGATTCACTGCATTTTCCTCTGCTGGCATCATCTCTCAAGATAGCACAGCATTCCTCCAGCATCCGCACAGCCGGCCGTGCTGCTGTAATGCCACGCAGCCAGCCCACTGCTGCTGCTGCACAAAGGGCGTACGTCACCCTGGCAAACCAGCTTCCCCATACCTACCGGATAGATTTGGACAGGAAACCTCTTACAGGGCCAGAGGTGCTCAGCTGCAGGAGCAGGACCAGCTCCCCGCCTTCGCACCGAGGCCACGCAACCACAGCTCACGGCGGCTGCACCCGGGGTCCGTGGGGAATTGCTGAGCCCCCCCAGCCAGGGCAGGAGGGCCCATCTGGTCCAGAACAGGGTCTTTTCGACATCATTTTCTTGAAAACGAGAGTGCTCTCACAAGCAGTGGTGGAACATCAGTAATCACTGGCAGAGAAGCCTAGTTTCTCAGCTACTTCATTCTCATAGACAAGTGGATCTTGTTTAGAGCCCTTCCAAAGCAACACACAAACCCCAGAAAAGCGATGTTTCCAAAAAGAAGCATGTCCACACTGAGAAGCAGCTCTGTAGTTACCACTACAGACCCTTTGCTCCACACCCTACCTCGCATCAATGGAGTACAGGGTTATAATTTCCCCATACAACTTCAGCTAGACATCAAGAGTTATTACGCCCTAAATGTGCATTTAAAAAGGGTGTTTAATGACTGCACAGGCAGAGTAGCTGGCTCTCTGGAGCACTCTGTCTCCAGGTGGCTGTGCTGCACTTGGTATTTCCCATATCACATTTTTCACTGGTGAGTTATAACCTCCCGTAACACCACAAGCCCAGTAAGAGAAGAGCTGCTTGTTCACCAGCTTCTCCCCGTTCTGCTCTGTCAGCTGCCCTTACATCGACTAATTGCTCATTTGATATCTTAACGTGATTACACAGAACAAATATTTCCAGGCCATTTAAGGAATAATAATTCAGCAATGCGTTGTGCTCATCTATGCAAATACTTAATTTTACGCCTGTCAGATGTAGTATCTTCTTTGGCACCTTCCTCCAACAAAACCATGGCTTTTCCTACATCGCGTCACAGCAAAACTGCAAAAAACCGTACATGTATACTGAATACTCCTGAATCCTTCGATATTCACCCTGCCCAGCTCCAGGCTGCCAGTGCCCAAAACTCTGCCGAATCGCTGGCAGGAAGCTTAAAGTCCACAACCCCGGCGCGAGGAACGCAAGCCAGGGATGCCAGCAGGGGTTAACGGCATTCGCCTCAGGCACGTTACACAGTGACCTTTCCAGCATCCATCCCTTGTGATCTGGAACAAAGTGGTGCTTCAGTTTCGGGGACAGGCCCAGAGAACAACGGAATGGCTTTCCACGTCTGATGTCTTCTCAGCTGTGCCGCAGCCGGAGCACAGCCCATTGCACTTCTTTGCTGCTCCGATACCGAATCCAGTGTTGGCATGGACTGCATTCCAGCACGGCATAAACACCACCCTCAGCTCCTGAGAAGGTCTCTTTACGGAGGAGCGAGCAGTTTTATCAGTACGCTAGAGTCTAACAGAGACATCTTTGGGCACAAACCAGTGTGTGACAGGATAGCGTTCAACAGAAGGTCACTTCTGTGGAAACCTTTAGCTACTGAACTTCAAGAGGCACCTAAACAAGCCAAGCCAGGTACTCAAACAAAACAAGTCAGAACTGGCTTCCCAAGTCTTGACCCACCTGCCCTCAAACACGCGTAAGAGGAGCAAACAATTACACCAACTCCCACCTGTAATTTTTACCAGGAGGCAATGCAATCCTGGTTAATAAACCACCACTACATTTTTCATCGCATCTTTCATAGCATTTTAACACACTTCAGACTGTTCAACTTCATTCCAGCACCTGCCCACCTGCCTTGTGGAGCACAAAGGAGTTTGGGGGTGAACTTTTGAGCAACTACCAGAAGAAAACCAGATTGCTCAGGGCTGTGTTCAGTGGGTTTTTCCCCCTTTAGTGTTTGCTTTTACTACTTCTCTGAAGAAGTCGTTCTGAATGAAAAATTTTCTGACCATCGACTGTGCGATGAGCGCATCGGCATTACTCAACCCACCCGAAACCCTCCCAAGAAACAAACACTTGAGGAACCAAGACCTCTCCCTGGTGTCCAGTATAAGTTCTGCCCTCTGGGGATGCCAAGGCAATCATGACAATTGAAAGGACTAGCTAGAATAGAACTACCTGCACACACATCATGTTCTCTCAGCTCAACCCAACCCAAGCCCTTGGGGCTTGCCCGTTTCGGCCTGCCCAAGCTCTAAGGCTCACAGGTGCTGCGATCTAGGGCATCGTAAGGCAGCCTGCGCTGCGCGGTGTGTACGCTCAGAGAGAAAGGGAGGATCGGACCGTTACCCCCACCTCCTCCTAGGCTGTAATGTTCACTAACTTTAGAAGAAGTTTAAGGATAATATTTCACTGTATTTTAAACACTTTTGTGACCATGCCAGAGACTTACTGGTAAGAGCATGACAGTAGGTTACTTCTATTCGGCGTAAGTTATCAAACAATGCTATTTGACTTTATGCTAATAGAAAAATACCAACCTATCTCTTGTCCCAAATGAGATGATTTCATAGACCCTGCTGAGGACACAACAGCACAGCGACCCAGGCGGCCCACTGTTTCATTGAGGCTTTTCCCTGGTAGGTATTGCTGCCATTCAGATGTATCAAAAGGACCATCCGATCCCTGTATCATGGTCACGTTCACCCTGTTCTGCAGCTGGCAGAGCAGCTTCTCCGGGCTGAGTTTAGCAGCATTCCTCTTCCCGTTGTAAGTCACATTGTACTTGTTCATGGACAGGTAGTTTCTTCTGACTTTCTGCAGCCTAGGTATGAGATTTCTGGATGAACTGTCCTTATCCCATACCTTCACAGAGTGTGCTGCCCTCTTGGACTTTTCAGCCGTTCTAGAGGTGCTGCCTTTTACTTTGTTGTGGTTACTAAACCAAGTTTTGGGTATCTGACCCAATTCACTGGCTGCTTCATGGAAAAGCTCCTGCGATTTAAGTGGGTTCCATTTTTCCGAAGTCCTGTGAACCTGCGAATCATCGCCCTCCGTCTTGAAAGGAACGTAGTAGCTTCTTCTCGTCTCTCTCCACAGGCAAACGGTCAGAGCTACCAGTATCACCACAAGAACACACATGATTTTTTTCAACACATTGACGTGAACCATAGTGTACGGTGCATCCACATGGGACACTGAACACCGGGCAGGAAGCTGGTCCTGGGAGAGAGGAACACATCTCAGTCAGGGCTGCACGCACAGCCGTGCGTATATATAAACGTCGGAGTGCGGGCAATGGGAGGGGAGAGGAAGCACAGAGGGGCAATTTTAAAATTTCAGGTCGGTTAAAGATCTCATTTCAAAGTCCGCCACCTCAAACACCAAATGGATAGCCTTGAGCTGGCTATTAGCCATCGCATGCTATGTAATGGTGATCTGAGGCCACTGCCGCTCAAACCATTCCTCTACTCCTTTCCACAAGTGACAGTCAAGTTTAACACAGCCAGTATTATCATACCAGCGGCAGGGTAAGTCTCCACTTTGCCTTCCTTCACCTCCCATCTCAGGCAGCCAACAGCCAAATCCCACCACTAGCATTTCCAGAACTGAGCTTCTACTTGACCACAGGCACGAACACTAATGAAGCACATAATGAGGCATGTAACTATGGAAAAAAATAAAAAGCTGTGAGTTCATGAACACCAGAAGCTTCACCAGCCTGGTACTGACGCATCTGGTGACTCCACAAGAAACTTCTCCAAGCCTGCAGGTGGGCTGAGCACATCCCCACATGAAACCTCAAACAGCGGCTGGGAGCCAGTTAATCCACAGTAGGGTCGGAGGCACGTTTGGGTTCATAAACCCGCTTTGATAAACACACCAGGCTGCTCCGGGATGTGCCCGAAAACATGGGAGCAGTATAGAGCCAGCAAGTGTGCCGGTGCTCCTCCGGAGACAAACACATGCAGGTCACCACCCCTCCTAGCGAGGCGCCAGGAACAGTTCCCTCCTTCGGCCACCTGCTGAAAAGCAGGCGGTGCTAAGCTGTGGTACTGAGAAGATACTGAGCTCCCAACGCACTACCTGTGGATAAAGCAGCAGCTCTCCAACTCAAGTCATTTTTGGCCGTTGGCAGATTTTCTTCCGAGGGTTTAAGCAGGATATCCCAAAACACGATGGTTCTGTGACGTACTGAAGAGTTCAAGAAACATCTGCAAAAAAAAGAGGAAAAAAGTCCTATTATGGAAGAGCCTTGTCATTCTGGGGATGAGTAAGTATTTCCTCAGACAAGCCCTGCAGTCCCACAAAAGCTGTTACCCCGGCAGGGAAGGGCCAGCAGCAACCACAGTACCACCACATCAGCCTCTTAAATGCTTAAACGCCCACTCGACATGGGCATCTTCCTCCTCAGCCTGAAACCCAGTCTCAGCCAAAGCAGGAACCAGTTCGCAGGCTGCCTGCCCTCCGCTCCCACCAGACTGGCAGTGGGTACACCCGTAACGCAACGAAGGAAAAATCCCAATGGCGATGCTTCACACGACAAACAGGGGAAAGGAAAGGAACAGCTAACTTTTCCTAGGGAAATGTCCTACTGCCTGTTCGTGGGCAGTTCATGCTCTCTTCCTCAAATGCAGTGGCAGAGAAGTCTCCCTGCTTTTTTGGAGCAAGTCGTATGACAAGCGGCTTTATAACATATATCTTAATCCACGGGACCTCACAAAATAGAAAAATGTATTTTAGACTTTACAGCTTCACTCTACCAGGGAAATGCAGCAAGAGAAAGGGAGATTTCACAGTATTGTACAATTCAAGAAGTAGCTTGCTTTTGCAGGAACTCCGAGTCAGTACAATGCTACATAAGCTAAATTACAAATGTTACCCTTCACAGGATTAAATACTAAATTATTAAAGCTTCCTAATGCTGACTACTTGTATTTTCTTTTAACTCTATTAAGGAACTCAACTTGATTTCTTACAGAGCACCCCGCAATTAAAAAGCAAACATTGTTCTACCTCCAGTTCTTAAACAACAAAAATAGAAAAAAAAAAAAAAAAAGATTCGAGAAGCACAAGTAATTCTAGTTTTTATTGAAATAATTTCCCCCGCCTTGACAGACCACCTCATTTTCCATTTGCTCGAGAAGCACGTGCTATAAAGGCATGCAGAAGCTTTTTGGCCGGTGTGTTTTCAGACACGGAGGTGCAGCAGCTTGGGGCAGGGGGTGCGGGCCGTCACTGCGCTCTCTTCTGCGAGGAGTTAATGCAAGGTTCCCTGTGATGTTTGCAGTTCCTCTTCTGCTGCGGTCTCTGCAAGACACTCTCCCCCCTGCCTCTGTCCCGGTCCCCTCCGCAGCTGGAGACGCCGATGGGTCAGCCCGCTCGGGGTCTGCCCCGTGCCCCCGGGAACAGAAAGAGCCCCGTGAAGGCAGGGGACTGCAAAAGCCATTTGCTAAAGTGGAAAGCACTGCTGAGCCAGCCTCCACGCTGTCAGGGGCTCTGCGGACAACCCACACTTGGACAGCAATGTTCTCCAAATCGAAACACCGAAATAGAGTTGTCCAGCGTCAGCTTAGTACAAAACTCTGAGACACCGTGCAGCCCCCGACCTGACTTTATTCACGCTGTTCTTCTTTACCGAAGATGAGGATCTGGCTTCCAGGACTCTCAGCCAAGGTCTTCTGCAGGGCAGGACTGAGCCTCCGCACCACGGGAGGTGTCTCGGCTGTCCTGCCGCCCCGCAGAGCGGAGTTCTTCGCGCTGGCCCCTGGAGGGATCTGCCAGGCTTTTGACTCCAGAAGCCTCTCCTGAGGGGTTTCCCGGGGTAGGTGACAGCAGGGCGTCTCAGTGCTGTCACCTCTCGTTTCCCACGGCTAGGATAATCTGCAGTGGCAGGTTCATCAAGGTGGAACAACCTTACAGCTCAGTGCAAGTTCCCGCTGGGACGCTCCTCCCGATGCCCCGCAGCGGAAGATGTCCAACAAGTCACGACACCTTCTCTCCTTCCCAGGCCACACAAAGGAACCTGGAAAACTCACCTTCAGCGCTCAGGTGATCACAACGTGATCCCTTCCTTTGATGGCTGTATGTGCTGCTGCAACGTGAACAGTTATTTTGCTTTGATTTTTAAGCTGGCAAAGTAGTTTCTGCAAGCGAGTCCATTTTAGCAGAGCCACAACATTTCAAGGTACCTTTTGTTCGCCAGGGTTCACTGCAGTTCAGTTGAATTATTACTACTGCTTCACGTGATATGATTCTATTTTATCTGCGCAAGTAGCGTCCTAGCGTGAGGTAGCATTTTGCCACCGAACCTTTTCTGCAGGAGCGGGAAGGCAGCCGCCCTTCCAGGCAACGTAGGCTAGCTCCCCATCCTTAGCTAAGTCACTTGCGCGTGCTCCCGCATCGCAGCGGTTAGCACAAACAAGCTCTTCTGGAGGTGATGGAAACTTATCACCTACACAAAGCACAAGGTGTCAGCTATGAGCACTGAGAAAGAAAGGACAAAAAAAAAATTTAAAAATCCCCCAAACCTATAAAAATACTGAAATAAATAGCTGCTGCCTTCCTGAAACCTAGATCCCGCCGTGGGGTGCAGCGCTGGCTGGCGGGCTAACCCCACACAGCACGTCCCCCGGGCGCAAATTAATCCTGCGTGGAGAACAAGTCAGTGATGCACTATCTTCAGGGAAGTCAGGGAATTATATCCCATCCACACAGTTATACTTAACCTTTATTGTCCAAGTATCTCATTGGACTCAGGTCTTGATCATCAAAGCACAGAAGAGCGTGAAAGTCCTGCTCTCGCGTCCCAGACCCTGCCACCCAGCCAGCAGTGCCCCTGCAGAGAACGCCACGCAATCCCCATTTCCACAACCCACTGCAGATTTACCCTAAAACTGCTAACAACAGCGTCTTCACCTCGTTAAAGAAAAAGTCCATCAAGCCCTTACCTGTCTCCTATAGCGTCCGACAGCAGATACACAGAGAAACCACCTAAGCATGGGCAAACGTATGAATATATTTCTCTTCCAGTAAATACACACAGCTTCCAAAAAGCTGTGTCATCAGCTGTACCAATGCCCATCCTCTGCACATTTGCTTAATTGCTTCTTGAAACCACTCACACTTCCCAAACAGCCCAAGGCAATGAATTCTGCAATTGTGCACCGTACAGAGACAAGCCCTCCTCTCTCCGCCTCACCCGGGCAAACCCGATCACACCGACGGTAATCCTTCTGCCTTCGTCTTCTGCCCGTCGCTCGTGGTCGCACCACCTCTCCTAACAAACGCCCTCCCTTCCCCATCCGTTGCTTTTCCAGGCTGAACCCCGCTTGTTCCCATCCCGCCTTGCACAGCAGCTTTTCCGTACCTCCGACTCTCTCGGTGAACTTCCCCGGCACTGTTTGCAGCCGGTGAAGGTCCCTCGAGGCCGGCACACCGGGACGCCCCAGCTGCACACGCTCAGGCCACGTACTCCAGCAGAAACACAAAGGGGCCGCTTTGTTCTCCTTCCAAAACTTCCTCCCCTTCTATTTCCCTCTCTGCCCGTTTCTAAGCGCTGAGCTCTAGGCTGTCAGCAGTGATTTCAGGGTTTTCTGCAAATAGCGCTGGCTCACCGAGAGCTGTCCCCAGCACAGGGCGCGGGGCAGGAGCAAAACACAACGAAAGAGCGTTACCGCACCCCTGCTAGCACAGGCTTCCTTCGCCGTGGCGCTGCCCAGCCACCCAGGACCACCGGATCCCTCTGCCCGTGTCTCCTCTGGTCCTCGGAGCCCTCAGAAGACAAACCCCATACCCTAGCCCTTCCTCCCCTCCTCCGCAGATCTGTTATCGCTGCTCAATGGCAGAGATCTCGGAGCAAATCCCTGTGGGACTTCTGTGATGTTGTGAAACCTGACCGCTTGGTTTCCTACCCGCTAGGCAGTCACTAATCCAGGACAGGAGCTCTCTCATCCCACGACAGCTTAGGGTTTGTTTTTTTCTGAGGCTCTTGGTGAGCAATCTCACCAGAACCTTGAAAATTCAAGCGTGCCATCTCCCCCTCTCCAGGTTCACTAACTTCTGAAAACAAGAGAAGAGGAAACCGCCAGACAGATTTGAAACGTGACCCTTCTGCAAACAGATGATGAGACTTCTCCGTTAATTCTTACGTGTTCTACAGGTGTTAGCTA